TAGCTATAGAGAAAACTCGAAGCGTCGTTATAGGAAAAATTTGAAGTGTGTTTGAATTTTAAATTTTTTCGAAATAGCGTACCGATAACGATTTATCCTGAACCGATTTTAAATATTTGTTATTATTCAAAAAGTATAAGTCGTAGATAGTTGAAAATTTCACAAGTTATTTAGATTGGAATTTTCTTTTCATGATTTAGTTTTCAAAATATTTTGACTTTTTTTGAGGTATTTATAGACAACTGAAATTTTCAATTTTTCTGAAAATTTTCTTTTGAAGTGTCAATAAAATTTTTTTGGCCCAATCAAAATACTTGAAAATTTAATACAAAGTTCCTCATAAGTTATTCTTATAGTAATTAAAAAATTATAARAAATACATAGGCACAATTTGTTTTTATTAGCATTTGAATTTAAAATTTTTACTAAATACGTAAAAATTACGAAAATTCGCAAATTATTTTAAGCTAGAAATTTATACAAAATTTTCTTTTTAAATTAAWGATTTGAAAATTTTTAATTATCTATAATATATCCTAGACTGACAAATCATCTCCGTTCAGCATCGTTTTTCGTATAYAATGATACCTATAATTGCATTCAAATCTAACCTACTCTAGTCAGAGGTCCACCCCACTACCTAATGTACAGCAGAGCGACATCCACTTATCCGCTTTTTTTCTTTACATCTTGACAAGTGTTAATTAAATGGAAACATTTTTTACTTTCTTCCAATATTGAATATGAAATGGTTTGATTTGATTAAACAAAACAAATCAAATTACCTATGCTTTTGGTTTATGGTTGATAATGAGTAGCTTCAGTACCAACTACAAATTACTACTTTCAAATTTAAAACAAATAAATATGTATAAAATATTCAAATATTCAAAAACAGCATGAGGTGAAAATAATATAAAATATCTTGTTCAGTGGTATGATGTAAAGCTCTGTGCCATCTTTAGCCAATAATTTGTGAAGGGGGCCACAAACTATATAAATAATAATTATAAAAAAAAAAAATTATAAGAAAACTTACCAATTTTTTATTGAAATCTGAACTATTATTTGAAAGTCTTGATTCAAGTTCAATAACATCTTCTATTTCTCTTAATGGAAACAATAATATAAAATGGTCATCATCCAATGCTGCAGATTGTGCTTTATGAGTTTGTACTACATCAGATTGTTCATTAAATGTTTGCGATAAAAAGTCTAAGTTTGAATTTATTCTTTTCATACATTGCCAAATATTGTAAGCAAATGAATCAACATTTTCTTTTGAATCTGAAAAAATAATAACCAAAAATTATCAAATAATAAATTTGATGCATGTATTTTAAGTAGACATTTTTGTCATTTACCTTGATCAGTGTTATCTTCAGGTGGAATAATAGGGGAATTGGAATCTTCTGGTTTGATAGGAGATGTTATACAAGAATCTGAAGTTTCCATGCTACTAGAAGACATTGCACACACGATTGTTTATGGAAAAAGTAAATATACCCACCAAAAATCTCGTTGTAATGCAGTTAGTGTCGCTAATAATTGGCGAGCAACACGATTTTCTAATATACATCTACTACTGCGGGACACACACTATTCGATGCAGTGATTATGAAATCAGTAGAATGTTAATTATATTGTGTTTCGATACTCTTGACTGTAGGTTATCCACTAATTTAAGATGGTGAGAACTGCGGATTCCTTAAACTGTTCAGTGCCTCTATTWTATAGACTTAATTGAGTAAATAGGTAATTAAATKTATTGCTCTGTACTTAGTCTGAAAACGTKCGAAGTAGGTGCTCTATTAAGCATTATTTATTGCGGCCGATGATTAATATAATATTTTATAATTGTTGTAGCAAGACGTCTTTACTGATAACGATTCTGTATCCATATTGATAAACGCGTGGAAACCAAATAGTAAACAAAGAACTATCGTGGTTTGCATGTTTTGGCGGTAAAATGATTTCGTTATCATTGTTATTTATCATAATCCATAGTTATCATCATGATGGTAATGCACACAGATAATGCATTATTATCATCACGCCATTATAATAAATGAATAATATTCATTTATAATATATAATAGTATAATACCTACTTATTTATTAATAAATAACATTTCAAAATKACTATGAATTTTAAGCATTAAATCATGTAGTTATGTAATTTTGAATTTTTTATGTGGTTTGTTGATTGCCTTTTAGCAGCGTTTAAAATTTGTTCATTTTGGTAAGTGTATGAAGTGTCAATATTGTATCACTTATTTACCTAAGGCTATTTAGACCAAATATACTAACATATTTTTCTCCGTTGAACTCGGTCTTCCGCCATATTTTACGCAGTTTTTTACAAAAATGTCATTAGCTTGCCTACTCTCCTCTCTTCTACTTACTAACATATATTTTGTTTTTTCTGCATTAATATATATGTCTACTTTTTACTGGGTCTATAGGTGTTGTGTACTGACATTCTTCTGTGTTTTTATTGTTTCCTAAAAAGTCCATTTTATCTGCATATTTGAAAAACTTATTGCTTAATTTCTCCAATTTTTAATTATACCTTTTGCCATTTTTAAATCTGTCATTTAACAATTGYATGTGCACATGATCAATTTGATTTGCATTATGTTATATTACAACACATTATTTTTCTTTGTTAATTTTATAACTAGTGTTTAAAATTATTTTTCTTTTTTTAGGTTTACAAGTTTTATATAATTTGGTAAAATAATACCATTAACCAATCATGCAAAAGTACATGTCTAAATCTGAAGTTCGATGTGCAAGTTTAATGAACAATGTATTGGAAGAAAATATCGATACGAATGAAATTTTGGAAAAAATTAGGTCATTTGAACAATGTGTAAGCTTATAATTTTTAATACTTTTTGAAATCTTACATGCTTGATAAATTTATTTATCAATATTTATCCAACAAAAAAGACTATGCAACATGTTTTCTAGTTTTCTAGATCGCCTAAACATTTTTGTTAGCTAGGTTTGGTGTTAGGTGAATTAAAAAAATAAGTAAATTTAAGGTAATTAATCAATTGTTAATTGTGTAATGTATTACATTTTTTTTTACTTTTTTATGTTAGTAACAGAGTTCCTACGTTAATGCGGTCTTGAATTTATTTTCTTCAATATTACTAGGTAGATTTGTTTTAGTATTTTTAAACTATAATGATACAAATTAATATTTTACAAGACATAAAGTATTATATATTTTATATATACTACCAATGTATGTAGGTACCTAATATTTTATTATAGATATAAATTATAAAATAATTTAAAAAAATCATATATCTATTAATATAATTAATTTAGGTAGGTACATTATATATGTTTGTTACAAAAATAATTAAAAGTATACCCTAAACCAGTTAGGGAATGTTGCAAAGAAATGCGCTACGGAATCTAACCGAATTTGGTCACTAGTACTTCAACTCAGTGTTTGTAAATACGCTGCTAGGTTAAAAAAAACATTAATTTTACTTTGTCAATAAATACAAACTGGATTTTATATAGCATTCCTATAATTTCCTGGTTTTTATTTTGTACACTGCATCAATATAAATTGCAATGAGTGGACTTGTGTTTTATATGATTATAATTTAATGTTACATTATATCTATTATACCTATTTTTGGAGCAGGCAAAATTACTGTTATTTATTCCTTRAAATTAAAATCAAAATTAACATTGTTCGTTAAATAATTTTCGTAGCTATTTTTGCACATAAACATTTTTTTCTATCCAATAGTATAAACCATGTGTAGCATAAGCCAATTTTACATGTATATCATACGTAATTAACAGATTTTCAGAAGCTTTATTAATTTATAGTTTATTTAATATAGAACATTCGTCATGGTGTTGGCAAAATAGAATTTACATTTTATGTGATTGATTTTGTTCATAATAAGACTATGCAGTAAGTRAATGATTATATTGTTTTTTTAGAACAATAATCATGTATATTAAAAATATATTCATTTCATTAGGTATGTAAATCAGCTAGATGAGAATGAAACTGTTATAAACAATGCATTTAATGTGCCAGAAGTTGAATCACCAATGGTGAAAAGAATAATACCTAAAGCATCAACAACAAAAGGTTCCAATGTCCAAGGCAAAAAAACAGTTCAAATACATTCGGTGACTTCTAAAATGAACAAAACAAAAATAATTGGTAAGTTGTTAATTTTGTAAAATAATTAATTAGTTTTTAAGAAAATTGTTATTTTTTTCACTTCTATAGAATATAGAATTGTTTAAAAATGTTGAATCAATTTTTGAACTGAAAACAGAAAATCTTTTTATACATTTTGAAATTAAACATTACACTRAAATAAATCAAAATCATATTTTTTCCAAATTTTTTAAATTTATGTATTGATTAAGTGTCCAGATTAAAGAAAAATAGTTGCTTAAATAATTTAATAACTATTTAAATTTGAATTTTTTCTTTCATTATGACAGAAAAATAAACATAGTTAAATACATGTTAAAAATTTTTTTTMGATTTGATTACAAAASTACAAATTTTTTAATTTTTTATGAATGTTTAAACAAGTAGAAATTATTGTGTTTAATTTTTCAGATACCACTAAGAAAGAACGAAGGAGCTTGGACATATTGTCAAGTCTTTATGCTGCAATGATAAATTCTAATATATTATGTAATTTGTTTCATGAGTTAGGTTATGTATTTACACTTGTTTCAGTAAAAAATCATGAAATAAAATTCAATGACAGTTTTAGTTCAAATAATATATATTTCAAATCATCTGATGATTGTCATTATTTTGCTTCAAAGACTATAGAACAATTGGTTCCAATTTTATGTTATTTGGAAAAACCAATTATCAATCTAATTTTAAAACAGAAAGTCATCAACACATATGTACCAGAATTGGCTAAGACTTTTGAAAGTAAATTTAACACATCGGTTAGTAAATATGTATAACAATATTATATTAATAAATATTTAGATATAGGTAAAACGTGTACGAGTTAATTATTATTAACATTATTTTATTTTGTTTTTAGAACATAAATGATGATATAAAGTCTTTAAATGCGAGTATATCAAAAGATATGGTAAAATTCGATGGTGAACAAGATGCCAAAGATTGTTTTCCATCAGTAAAAATGTTTCATGCTTTCAAAATGCAAAGAGATGCATTTTATGATCTACTAGAAAATTGGAAACAAAATGAAAATCAGTATGAGTTAGATTCTAAGAAATTTGAACATATTAACAAAATGCTTAAGGAAAACAATAATTCTGTTAATATGAGTAAATTCGCTAAATTATTTGTTGCTCAATTGATAAATTCAACATTTGAAGAGTCAAAGGTTATTATTTTTATAATAACTCACTACAATTTTACATTTTTTTTTCATATAAATAAAATGTATTCATTTTTTAATTTTTTAATATTTTGATTTTGATTTTTAGAATATCTATAAAAATAAAACTATTAAAGAGTTATCCGCCTCTAAGTTAGAATTACTTCATCAGCGAATTACCAAACGCGACTATACAAGTGGATATAGTGTTGATCCAGCAAACGAATTTCCTGGTATGCAAATGTTTTTTAAAGAATTCACTGTTATGTTGTTAGGCGATGGCATTTTTTGTAAACATTTAATAGATACTTTGGTACACAGAATTGATGTATTAAATACAATGGAATGGGCTTCTGAGTTACAAGAAGGTGTGTACCACTTAATTTATTAAAAATATAAATTCCTAAAAAGAAACATTTTATATTTTCAAGGTGCAATATATCAACAAACCTTCTTTTTTTATGTTGATACTTTAAGATTATTGGCCAAATTTTTGGCCTTTGCAATATATAATCCATACAAAGATTATGATGTTTTAAATCCGGCTTTAAAAGAATATATATGGGAAGTACGATCAAAGGTAATTTGYATATTATAATATTATATTGCTACTTCAACCTTAATATTCTTAATATTATGTTTATTATATAGGCTTTACCTCCAATAAATTTACTTGCTAAATTACGTTGTGCTCTTAAACGTGGTCATAGTGAAATTGTATTAACAACTTMATGGATCATTGAATACTTGTATCAAGTGGATCGGATTTCAATTACAACTCCTTTTTATAAAGATGTACTAATTTTGATCTATTCTCTGTGTATGTTGAATTCTGATATAACTGGTTCAGTACTTATGTTGAGGTTGCAGTTTAATTGTTTAATTGAACACATAAATATTGAACCTCATACACTATTTGATGCCTCAAATAAATGTTTTGATAAAAGTAATTTATTTTATAATACATATTATTGCTGTTGTAACGATTGTGTAATTTATTTTATGCTTTATAATGATTCAGGTCTTTTTGAAAATGTAAAGGAATTCAAAAATGGTTTAATAGTAAATACGAAGCAAATTTATCACTATTGTCCACAGTTAAATAATTATCGTACTGTATTAGAAAGTAAAGTTAATAGTAAAAAGATAAAATTTTTATCACCTATAGTCAGTATACCTAGTCGAAAAATAAATCAAAATCATCAAATAGAAGTAAGTATACTGTTAAAAAAAATTCAGGCAAATATAATTTTCATTTTCATTTTAGTTGGAATTAGAATCACATTTCTTTGAAAATCATTCTTCATCTGTGTTAGCAACAGTTGATTTCATTGCAAAACGAATCGCTTCTTCATGTACCAAAAAGATTCAAAACAAGGGTATAGCTGCTGTTAAGAATCAATTTGTTGATATTGTGTGTGAAAAATTCAAAGAACATATCAGCGAAAATACAGTGAATAAAATTATTATTTTTCTAATCATAATGTGTATCAGACAGTTAAATAATTAAGTACTAATGTTTACAGAATGCAATGTTTAAAATCGACGAAAATGATGTTGCCAAGTGTAGTTTATTTTTGAGTTCCACTATTCAACAGTACGTAGATCATTTTTCCAAAAACAATATTCCCAACTCAATTCAAGAATTATTAGATTCTGAATCTGTGAACCCAAGTTCCTTGCCTTTTTGTATTGCTGTTACAGTTCGTAAATTTAAAGCATTAGTAACAGATTGGGTCAAGAATCATATAAATATCAAAAGTAATATGTTGTATTTTATTTATATTAATGTAGATTGAACTCATTCATAATTTTGTTTACAGATATGTTTATTACTTACATTAAAACTGAATTGAAAATAAATTTAAAAAATGGGAGTATAAATGAAGATGGAAGTAATCTTCGTGAATTATTGATGCCTACTCATTTTGATGAACCAGATGAAGATATGTTTATTCCAGAGAATGAACTATTGACAGATTTAAATGCAAGTATATTTTATTGAGAAAATTAGAAAAAGTCACAATTAATTAATACAAACAAAAGTATTTAAATATTAAGTTTATGTGTGAGTTTTACGTTACTCCGTTATTATGGCCAAGACTATAGTGATATGATATTAAAAATGTGTTACATTCTAGTGTTTATAAATCCTAAATATCTGGGTGATCACTATAAAAAGTAGATCTGTAAGCGTCAATTAATTGTATAAAACCAGGCATAAGGCTACATAGGATATTATTTTAATACTATTTTGTTGAGATCATCATTTTTAACAYGATTGTTTAAGGAAATTCAAACAAAATTTAATTTATTGTTTTTTCATTATTAATATTATTATTAACATTTTATCAGATCACTTTAAATATTAACATTTAATCATTGTGATTAAATTTGAAAAATTTAATAGTTCATTTCTGCAAATGTTATTTTTATATTTTATCATTGTGTCGTCGTTTTTATAAAAAGTATCACCCCACCATCTTTTATAATCATCCTTGGTATTCAAATTTTTTTTTTCTTATGTTACAAAACTTTCAAATAAAAATAAATAATAATAATATACTATTTAAAATTAACATTAGCATAGTTAAGAATTACACATAAATAAGTATAAAAAATAAGACCATCCT